CCTGCTTGCAGTGGAAAGATTTTGTCCTCAACGGCCTTTCTCGCCAGAACCGACGCCAACCATACAGGTCCAGAAATAGTCCTCTCTCCCCCTCTCAGCTTCATCTCCCCTCTATATTTTTGTTGATTTCGCGCCGACTGTGCTTCCCCCCTGGGAGAGCTAAGACCAATGGGGCAAGTAGGATTTCCCGGCCCAGTTGAGAGCACTGAGCCGACCGATCCTCCAGCGCATGTTTTTCAATGGACCGGCACAACGAAACAGAGAACAAAATACCAAAAGCAACAAAACATAAAACAAAAATACCAAAAAAAACAAAGCGCAAAACACAACAAAAGGGACCTCCTTCCACATAAAAATTAAGCAATAACAACCGTGCTCTACGCTGGTGGCTGATGGGGTGGGGCAATCGACGAGAGTCGCGAAGACACGAGGAAGAAAAAAAAAAGTATTATTTTGTGCTGGTGGTATGATGCGCAATTATGTGCATAGTCAGTTTGAAAACCGAGCAAAGCTAGGTGTCCACCCTCCGCTTGGAATGGCATATGCTTATGGGGCAGCATTCTTCCGTGCTTCACCGCGCGCCGAGTGCGATTGTTTCCCGGAATGACAAAAATATAATTTGGTAGGCTATGGGTTCCTGGCACGCGCGAGGTGGTCAGTATGTATTGGAAAGTGCCATTGAATGTGTGAATGACCACATCTGGGCATATATCCAAACACAATTGCCGTTTGTTGCGCTCCTGGGTGCTTTGGGGCCCTCTTTGTGGGAAATCGCTTTTCAAACTTCTGATTTGCTTTTTTTCAACAGAAAATTGCTGTCGGCCATTGTGCCGGATCCGGGCCTTAGGTCTCTGATCCCTATCGTGAATTCTGGCTTGGAAATGGGTCAATGAGGGTTAAAAAATATTTCAGTTTTCTCTCCGTTTGTTAACGCAACTTCCCCTAGACCACACCTAATTCGGAGGAAAGCGCCGCGAGGTGCGCGTTCCTGGCACTGTGGCGAAAGCCGAAATGCAACCTACAGGCGCCAGTGGCGTACTGAAGCGCTCGCCCCCACAGCGCCATTCTCTTTAAAACAACTCCCTTTGTTGCGCCCTTCCTTTCCAGGGGGCATCCTTTCGTCCGAGAACCTTCCCCTATGACTTGCTCTTTCGCTTGCTTGGCAGCAAAACGGGGGCAAAGGCAGCCAGCCAAACCTTCCAGAACGCGGTGGGTGGGTTCTCCACCTTGCGCGCGCAGCCCGCGCAAATGCGTCCGGACGTGAAACCCAAACGTCCAGCATTTTGTATTATTATGGGGGTTGCCCTCGCAGCCTTCCGGTTTATGACGGTGGAAGGCGGTAAAGCTGCGTACGGCTTTTCGCCGTGTTTCTTTCCACCCGGCTTCTCGCGGCGCAAAGTGGAGTACTAAACCTTTGCGCCGCGAGAAGCCGGCTGACACCACTGAAAACAACGCTCTGTAAGACTTATTAAAAAAAAAAACTACTTTATGGGAATCTTTATCTTCATAAGCGTGAAGAGAATAGTATTTATTTCCCATGGGTGAGACCCGATCGCCCCTTAGAAAGTTTTCTGCAAAAATATTCTATCGTTGGGGTGCGCCGCGAACCCAATCGCGGTGCATCAGCGAAGTGCGCCTTATGGTTTCAGGGCGCCCCTATGCAAACCCAGGCGTTCAAGAGTAGCACAACCAGAAAAAACACACTCACGAAAACCTTTGCTCTTCCAAAACGCTAAAAATATCTAAGGGGATAAAAAACAAAATTCGCCGTTGGAACGCGAGGAAACCGCAGGGTCCTTTTAAAAGAATATCTTTTAAGTTCCATTGACTGACCGCATCATTTCATCCTAAGAGTTGTTTTTGGTTGCTTCACTGTGGTGTGGTGTTGGAGCTGGTCCTTTTTTTTTTTTCGAAAGCCTGCGAAAGGAATGGTCAAGCCTTACCCAATCTTGTTAACAGGAGATCCTGGGATCCATCATCATTCTTGTATTCATATCTTGCCGTTGGAAAGTCGCAAAGTGTAAGTTTGAAACGAAACTTAAGACACAAGCGGACACAATTTTATCCACCAACCACCCAACAGGCCCTCATGGACGTGGAATGGATGACGAGCCTCTCGGCTCTCAGGACGTTCGTTGAACATTGCTTTCGGACCCCCTTTTCTTTCGAGCACAGACCAAATTTAAGTACACAGGTCAATCACGTTGAAGGCCCACTCACTCTCGAGAACGGTGAACTGACCATTTTTCTGGAGAATGGTGCTAAAGCCAGTTTCGTTTCTTTGCGGCACTCCATAGTGCCGTTTGGCAAGCCAAAGAATGAGAACTTTCTTAAGGATTTTAACGATGCACGGGCGACCTTCTGCACTGAGTGGGTGGCACTGGAAGAAAACAAGCCAATACTGCATCAGCATTATGAAATGGTTAGGGCACAACTGGCGGAAGAAAATTTAAAGACCAAACAGGACGCTTATGCGCAGACAGTGGGATCCCACGATCACATCAATTAAATACAGCAACAGATTAACGCGTTGGAAGCGCAGAAAAACCAGCTGTGCGAGGATAAAAACCAGCTGCAAGCTCATACCAACCAGATGCAGGCGTGGTTTACCCAAAACAAAAAACAGACGGGACCGCCAGTGTCGCGGCCTGTAACAGAAGGCAGAAACGACTTTATCCAACCTGGTGTTCACACCGTTACCCAGTCTACCAAGTTGGACGGGCCTGCTGACCGACCATCAAATCCGTCGGGGGCCCCACCCCAAGTGGGTTTGCGAGGCATTCAAAAGCTAAAGAATAAATTCGTGGACATAGGTTTCCGTCCAGAAGAAAATATCCGGACTTTCGAGGGCGCCTTGGAGTATTTATTTTTGGACCTCCTTAGAACAGCTTCTGGCGGCTTATCGGGATCTTTTTCCCTTACCCGTGAAGCCTGGTTTTGAGCTCTGCCAGGCGTGGGAAAATTTCGTGGCATGGATTTATGCTATCCGACACGAGGGCATGTCAGCCGAACAGGCGCAATTGGGCAGGCGTTTGTATTATCAGCTTCGGGTGGCTCAGGCGGCGAAGGAAAACCCCGGCGTTAATATCCAAACCCTTGCCAACGCCACCGGGGATCCCAGAAAGGAGGACGACCCTGTTTTTCAGGCAGTCCAGAAAGCGAAGAAACATTCCGCCCCTCCTAGCTACGCGCGTTGTTTTCGATGTGGACGCGCAGGGCATTACAGCACAACATGCTATGCGCAGGTAAAAAAGACGCCGTTTAAGCCAAAAAAACGATTATCGGACACGGAAGCAATGAAATCCAGAGCCGGGAAAGCATTGAAATCTTTACCGAGTGGCTCGGTTGCAGCTGGGTTGCCGGGGAACGGGCAATTCTCCGCGGGAGGGGGCCTGCACGCCACCCCTAGAGGCTAGGCCCCACGGGCGCCCCCCACTTTGGAGAGATCAGTTGGCACAGGTCCTTCTGCCATTAAAAACCTCAGCAAACGAGATAACAGTGACCGCGGTACCGCCACACAACCCATATGTGACAGCACTGGCGTCCGAGGCAAACCGCATCGCCGAGGATATTTGGACCCATTCGGCTTGGGAACAAAGGGTGTCCATAATGCGAAGACCCTGCGGCTTCGTGAAAAGTAGAATCTAGAGGTTCGGGGGGG